ATCATGCAGTGATTATTCTAGGCTGGAGTTGCTACCACTTTTTGAATTCAGTATAAGAACATTTGTGGAGATGGAAATATGGGTAACTGTAGATATACAATTATTCCTAATTTCCTTCTGTAAAAATTTTCTTACAATTCAGTCAAAAAGTTGTAGCAACTCCAGCTTAGAATAATCACTGCGAAGGATGCTGCGGAAAGATTTTCGTGTTTTATCACAGTTATTATATGATCAATATAATCGTCATTACAGGGACAACGGAGCAGGGTGGCTCGCTGGGCTTTAGCCCCGTAACTATCGTAACTTTTACCTCTTTAACGTATATTTTAATAACTAATTCAAAGGTTATATTTTCCGGGAGATTCAACCATGGTCGAATGTACCGTTTTCCCGTATATTCGACCATGGTCGAGTATACCGTTTTCCGGCCAAATTCGATCCTTGCAAGTTGCAACTTTATATACATATTTGTATATGAGCACCGAACATTCTTGAAACTTTACATATAGGACCAGCATTTGATCATTAAAACAGCGTGATTATCCATGGTCGAGTATATACCGTTTTCCGGCACATTCGCGACCATGGTCGGGTATACCATTTTCCGGCCATATTCGGCCATGGTCGAGTATACCGTTTTTCGGTACATTTGGCCATGGTGGAGTATATTCGATGCTTGCAAGTTGCAACTTTATATAGATGTTTGCATACGGGCACCAAAATGCTTGAAACTTTACATAGCACCAGAATTAGACCATTTAACCTGCGTGCATGGTTATCCATATCAAAATATTAGACATAATAACCAAAGCATGGTTATATTGTTTAATGTGTTTGTATATGAGCGCCAAACATGCTGGAAACTTTACATAGGACAAGCATTTGACCATTAAAACAGCGTGGTTATCCATTTCAAAAAATTTGACATTATAACCAAAGCATGGTTATATTGTTTAATGTTTGTATATATGAGCGCCAAACATGCTGGAAAATTTAAATAGGACAAGCATTTGACCATTAAAACAGCGTGGTTCCTCTCATAATAATTTTTCCTTCCGCTTAAGACATGCGAGAAGCCAACAACTACAGCGCCATAGTCAAACTTGCAAGAGAAGCCTCTTTGGTTGTTTGTATTGTTTATGTTTGTATATGAGCGCCAAACATGCTGGAAACTTTACATAGGACAAGCATTTGACCATTAAAACAGCGTGGTTATCCATATCAAAATATTTGACATCATAACCAAAGCATTGTTATATTGTTTAATGTTTGTATATGAGCACGAAACATGTTTGCAACTCTACATATAGGACAAGCATTTGACCATTGAATTAAAACAGCGTGGTTATCCATGTCAAAACATTTTGATATTTGGTGATGATTTATCTACGTTTTTGCGATGCCGGTGCAATGCTTTTGCCACATATATTCATACAATAAAACTTGATCAGGCACATTCACCGATACTGACATTACAGACGTCATACGAGACATATACAAACATGTCGATATTGAAGATCGAGTTAGGTTCGGGGAATCTTAAAGGTGCATTCGGTTTTGGCAAGAAAGAAGATTATACATACGATGTCCCTGCGAATGCTATTCATGTTTCATTGCACCACGAGGATGCGAGCTCGGATACTCTGAACATTGGTAATGGGAATGGCAAGGTGACTCTACGCTGGGACAAGCCGGGAAGAAAAGCTCACGTTCATGCTTGGGTCAATGGCGCTCTTGGAGCGGCAAACGAAATGAAATGGACGGTGTACTGCTGGATTAAAGTGTGAATATGTTATTTTTGTTATGAATACGAACATGTTGTGTATACAAGACATTCGTTGGAGCTTTGTAATGGCTAAAGGAAACTGCTAATAATAATGATTTAACTAATTGTATATATAGTATAATAATAGTAACATGGTTTGACTATAGAACTAATTGTATTAGCAATAATATAGCACTTTAATTGACGTTGTAAAAATGTTCTGACATGTATGTAGCTTTGATGAAATGATGTATTCTTAATTCATCAATTGTAAAGCTAAAAATCTAGGCGGATAATACTTCTAGGGGAAAATAAAACAAAAATTGCGCAACCATTCTAGTAGATTCCTGTCCGAACGAGTCCATGGCTTAATTAATTCCTTGTATTCTAGAGAATATTCCAGGTATCAAGTGCATATAATTATCATGCAATCACCAAAACAGCAGGGTGCATTATATAGGCATTTCTTTATATAATATCAATCAAGTTGAACCCGCGAATACCCGCAAAAAAATTTGAAACTCTGCAGCGTATCAAAAATAACATATTCAACTGCGTATTTCCCGCTCGCCATGCACTGTAAATGCAGTTCACATTCAAAAATTATTCTTGAACATTATTAATTAATGTCAATCCTCAAGGCCAACTGGTGAGGATAATATTTTGGAAAGTATACTTTTTTTCAAAAGCAAAACGTCACAATAATGTTTTCGGGCTCATTCATTTTGTCCCGATAATTCAGTGGAACATCGTCCAAATTGTCGTGGTATAATTCTGTAGGACCACTCAGGCTCTGAATGCAGCAAAACAGATAATCTATTTTGGTGCATGCATTCTAAGTCTGGAAGTTTCAGGTCCAGCTGACTGGAAGTTCATTATATGTTTGGAGAATTATCAAACGAATTTGATGGCAAATATGCCTATATCTATATAACATTACCGCGAATGCTGCAAATGTGTTGCAAGCAGATCACATTATTTTGAAGTTATATGTTTCCAAGAGAAGGCTCCCCTGGATTTCTACTCATATCATGTACCATGATTCCTGGAACAAAATATTTAGTCCATAAGATATTTGTTACGTCATTCACACGATGTGTTAAAGTATGGCGTACTTCTCACTTTCCTGTTCTGGTAATTCCTCAAAGGCAAAATGTCCATCCATCTCTGCCAGCAACTGGTTTACGACACGAACACTTGCGGTGGACTAAATGAACAACATTGTGTAAGTTGCTTGATAAAGTAGTAACTGCGGGCAAAGATAAAACCTTCGGAAAATCGCTGCTGCATGTGACTATCCTACATACCTCGGCACTGTGTGATCTTCGCGGACATAATGCATCCAGTTGATCTTCTTGTTTTCCTCTTTGGGAGTGTCGGCTAATAATCAAATCACCCATGGCGTTGAATTTCTTGTTTCCTCTTTGGGAGTGTTGGCTAATAATCGCGTTAGCGGTTGGTCCAAAGGTAGCTCTGGGTCCTTCACGTTGGTCCAAAGGTATGGGTCCTTCACGTTGGTCCAATGGTAGCTCTGGGTGATTATTTTATTTATACTTTTGTCTATAATCTGTTAACTGTTCTTCGCGAGAGAGAATTGTATCTATATTGTTCACAGAGCAAGGGGAAACAATAATTGGGTTGTCATTACAACTCTTATCGATCTCTTTGTCTTGGTGACTATTTTGAGCTGACAGTAATTTGTTGTCGTTATTATATAAAGTGGACCAATTGATAGCAACTCATATAGTTCTCAATCTCAAAGGAGTGATTATTGGCTTTCCCTTTGTCAATGATCGACAATTTATTATTGTCACCATACATAAAGGGTTTTATGCGAATACAAAACCTGATCCTGCGTGATCATTCACCGATGCTGATATTGTATATATCATACGACTTCACAGCCATATACCAGAACACATGCTAAGAAGTCCATATCGAAGATTGAGTTCGGTTCGGAGAATCTTAAAAGTGCATTCGGTTTTCGCAAGAAAGAAGAATGGCAAGGTGACTCTACGCTGGGACAAACTCGGAAGAAAAGCTCACGTTCATGCTTGGGTCAATGGCGCTCTTGCATGGAAAGTCAAACGAAGTGAGATGGACGGTGTATTGCTCGATTAAAGAGTAAAATGCTAATTTCGTTATACGAATGTGAACGTTTTATGTAAAGAACACATTCGTTGCTATTTTCTAATGGCTATAAAAGAAACTGCTAAAAATAATCGTTTTATAACAAATTGTATTAGTGATATAATAGTAATGAGTTTTAACTAATTGACAATGATTCATTCGTAGAAATGTTTCGACCGCTTTGATGAAATTATTATTGGGTTTATATTTTCAATTCATCGATTGTATAAGGCTAAAAATCTAGACCATGATAATACTTATATTTCTGAGGGAAAAATAAAGCAAACATTTAATGATTACGGAACAATTCTAGTAGTTTCCTGTCAGAACAAGAACTTAATTCCTTGCATGCAAATTCCAGGTCGAACTGTCACTCGATGAGCACATATATGAGAATCAGGCCTAATTTCTGGTTACGTTCTTGTTGAATTGCAGAAAAATACATTTTTGAACTATAGTTCATTATGATTTCGATTAACTTATACCATAGTTATTGTAGTGGGAGGGTTTGGAAGACCGGGTCACGTGACTAAAAAACTTATTGTCTTTAATCACGTGGGAACCAAGGTGCATCGAACAGAGTTGTTTTCATCGTAAAATCATATAGATTAAAGGAAGCGCGACACAAAAACATTGTATTTTGGCGTCTTTTTCGCGATGCCAGGAGCGAATTGCTCCATATTTGGTTGCGCGACAAGTCGAAAGCACGTCGGGGTAGGAATTTTTAAAATCCCTTCGGAAACAGATGAGTTATCGAAGAAAACTCGCGAAGCTTGGATAAGTGTTATCACCAAGGACCGTGTTGTAGACGAAGGTTTGCGTCGACAAATCAATAGCGAAACTGGTATGTGTGTGAGAAGCATTTTAGGAAAGAAGAATATGAGACTTGTAAGTATATTCTTATTTTTGATTTGATAATATTATTCCTAAATTTACATATCGGTGCGGTTTTTAAGCCCTTAAGATCACGACCCTTCAGAGTCGAAAACAATAGTCCCCTGTATGCATATAATTAGTTGTTTGGCACAAGTTTGCGTCAGAAAATCCCAGTGGATAATGTACTATGTGTAAACCAAAAAACTCAAGATAGGAGTTGTTAAAAAAAGACAAATTTAAGGTGATATTTCGCCTACTGTATTTCAATTGTCAAACGTTTTTAGGGGTTGTATTTCCATATGAAATTTCATAGTAAATAATTTGTCCTTACGACGATGTCTATATGCAGTTACTGTGATAGGTAGTTCATTTGTTGATTATAGTCACTCATGCTGTAAAGTTTGCAATAGATATCTTCTAAAAGTATGATTCCTCTGATCTTTAAAGATTATCAGTAATTTTTGCAATGTCTATCGTGTTTCATATTGAAACTCGTAAAAGCTATGCTAGGGTGATTATATATATTTAACAGTAGGTCTTTTTCTTTTTCAGTTTCTACTCGTAAGATATTAGCTCGTGGAGCAATTCCATCCTTAAACTTGCCAGTGAAGAGTATACCACCTCCACCTCCTGCTACACCAAGGCGTGATCTAGTGCGACAGCAAATTGATGATCCTGTCCTAGTGGTTTATCGAAACTTTAAACACTTTCAACAAAAGATATTACCATTGAAGATGAACAGATGGTGCAAAAAAGGGGAAGAGGACAGTATAGTTTTTGAGTTTTTCCAGCCACCTTATACCCTACCAAAGCTTTCCTTGTCAGTTGTTTCTGAACTCACCTTTTCTGTTGCTGTGTACAACTGGTTTTTACCAGATGACCATTATATTTATGTTAGTCACAAAAGATCTTTAAAGCATACATCCATCTCTACCCTAATGGCCACTTTGGAAAGTGCTCAAGTTTGTCAAGGTCTAAGTAAAGAGAAACACATTGTCTCTTTATGTGAAGATCCCAGTCCGACTTGTGGTGCCAGCAGTGTCATGAGACATACAATCCCAATTGAGCGAAAGTGCTATGAAGAAGATGGTCCACCATTTCAGGCTCATGTGTTTATCAGGTCAGAGCATTGTGAGTTGCTTTGCAGCAACGTCTCCTGTTCTGATTGTATCAAAAAGGAAAAATCCCTTACAAAAATGAAAGAGAGTGCTGTCAAGAAAGGAACAGAGCCTCTGAAAAGTAATGCACCCCTGTCTGGCTCAAGTAAGGAGAGGTTAATTGCCACTGTTCAACAGCAAAGGCTGGTTTGTAAAGAACTTGAGGGTCGAATTGCTGAACTGGAGAAAGAAATTGAGAGCAACAGCATCCCTATCGACGAAACAATGGAAAAAGATATCTTGGCAATTCTTGCTGACAGAAGTGATGATGTAACCCCCCACATGAAAGTTTTCTGGGAGCAGCAAAGGAAACTACTAGCTATGCCAAAATTTGGAAGAAGGTAGTGAAGCATGTTTTTTGCATGACATAGTTTATCTATTCATACTTTTCACACACTGCTGGGAGGTATACTGCACCATGATTGTAGGCCTTAATATTGTTGTTTGAAATAGGAAAAGACATACAACAGAAGGAAAGTTATTGTAGACAGGGTGCTGAAGGCCATTTAAAAAAGATTGAATGAAAAGATATGAAAAAGTAGACTGTATATGGCACCCAATCTTTAATTCAATAACTAGAACTAGAAGTGGCTTTGTATAGTCAACCTGTACAATACTCTTAACAGTTCACCCTAGATTTATTATCCTGGATTGTGTGAGAAAACATTTTTGTGCCTTTGGCCCTTAGACTGGGAAAAATATTACTTATTTTATTTTACATTAGGCAATTAGAGTCTCCTGATGGATTATTATATACAGTCATTAATATGTTTTATTATTGCCAGGTACCATCCTCATATCATCCGTTTCTGCCTGTCTCTTCATGCCAAGTCTCCAGCAGCATACAAAGAATTGCGAGAGTCTGGTGTTTTGGTACTACCAAGTGAGAGAACTCTCAGGGATTACCGAAATTTCTTCAAGCCAAGGGCTGGTTTTCATCCTGATAATATTGAAAGATTAAAGAATCAAACAAGCCAGTATTTTGACATACAGAGGTATGTTGTCCTTTCATTTGATGAAATGAAAATCCAATCAAAGCTGGTCTTTGATAAACACTCCAATGAACTAATTGGCTTTGTTGATCTTGGAGAAGAGGAACTGAATCTTAGCAGTGGATCGTCTGACCTTGCGACCCATGCCCTGGTATTTTTTGTACGTGGTGCTGCAAGTGTTCTTAAATATGCCCTTGCGTACTTTCTTACTAAAGATGTCACTTCATATCAGATAATGCCTTTGTTTTGGAAAGCTGTATCTGTACTTGAGCTTACGTGTAATCTCTGGGTTTGTGCCACTGTATCTGATGGAGCATCACCTAATCGCCTCTTCTACCAACTGCATTCCGATTTGGTCGAACCAGGTACAGAAGTGGTAAACTACACACCAAATCTTTTTGCTTCAAGTCGAAAAATCTACTTCTTCTCTGATGCACCACATTTGCTTAAGACTACCAGAAACTGCCTATTTAATTCTGGAAGTGGTAAGCGCACACGCTACATGTGGAACAACAAGAAGTACCTGCTCTGGGAACACATTGCCAAACTATTTACTCGGATCTTGATTCGGGTCTCCACCAGCTACCTAAGTTGACCGTAGATCACATTGCCCTAAAGTCCTATTCAAAGATGAAAGTCAGCATGGCAGTGCAAGTGTTGAGCAATACAGTTGCACAAGCTCTACAGCGCCATTTCTCATCGGGAGAAGCAGAGGAAACCGCCAAACTGTGCAAGATGATGAACGATTTTTTTGACTGCATGAATGTTCGATCCACCACCGAGCACCAGAAGAAGCGCAACGCTTTATTAGCTCCATACAGAAGTATGGATGACGAGAGATTCAATTGGCTGCAAAATGTCTTTCTGGAATACCTAAACAATTGGAAATTGTCGACAGAATTGAGAGAAGGAGCATTCACTGATGATGACAGAGGACGTATGTTCTTGAGTACCCAAACCTTCAGTGGATTAAAGATGTCAATCAAATCAGTTATAGCAACAACCAAGTTCTTGTTGAGTGAGGGGTTTGACTTTGTTTTGACTGAACGTTTTTGTCAAGATGACGTTGAAGAGTACTTTGGCTACCAGCGTGCCCAAGGACGAAGAAGTGACAACCCATCAGCTGCAGAATTTGGCTATAATGACCTAAGAATTGCCACCTTGCGAGATGTTGCACCCAAATCAATTGAGGGGAATGTATCAGGACGGCATTCCGGAAAGAAAAGTAAGTGGTGCAATGTGAGCGATGAGCAGCTGCCCAAGAGAATAGTAAAAAAGAAGAAACCATTAACTGATTGACACTAATATTTCAGACAATACATATACAGGCTGCATCACCCCCTCCCTATTGAAATAGAGCTTTGTTGAAATTTAAGTGCATGAGTAACACAAATTAAGGTCTTACTTTCAATTTTAGGCATCTGTGGGTTTAGAATAATAATACTATCTGTCACAGACTAGCAAAATGTGCTGACTGCCTAATAAAGAGTGTTGTTTTTTTCAAATTGCATCTTTAATATACATAAGAATACATATGGGAAGCTTTTATTTTCATGAGTAACTTCATTGAGTTCACTATTTTTTGTAATGTGATGTCACAGCCTCTTTTAAATATTGCATACTGTAGCTGTACTGAAAGCAATTTTTATGAACTAATAATGTACAATAATGATCTTCGAGAAACCTTGTAAACTTAATAATTATAGAGTATCAAATCACCATTTATTCAACCTTTAACCTCAAATGTGCTAGATTACTTATGACATAATTACAAGCATACTTCACTGGCTTTCTTCAGGTCCTTTCGTAGAGCTTTAGTTTTCTGAGTACGTTGACTCAGTTTATACTTATTTACAATATCTTTAGCCAATGAAAAAGATCTGACAGTAACATATAGTTTCACTACATTTTCCAAACATAAACATTGACATTCTTTTGAAATTTGTACAGAACAGTTTTGAATGATATTGTTCCATAAGCTTTTAACAAGAGGGGAAGTTAATACTTCATTAACTATAATGTCTACTGGAAGAAAAGTAACCTTGTCTTTATTTGTACTCTTTCTGAATGCCAACTCAGCAACCTCTGCAATCCTAACAATCCATTCATGGGGTGCCCAAAGTCCACCTCTTGATAAAGATGAAATATATTCATTCCTCTCTGTTTCCTGTCTCATTGATGACATTAAAGCTTGAATTTCTTTGTTGCGGGCGGAGTTGCTTCTGGAACAATTTTTGCTCTTTTGGTAAAATGATCGTATCACATAACCAGTAAGGTAAGATAATGGTCCATATTCATGAGGTAATAGGGACATCTCCTCCTAAAATTTAGTCAACAAGTAAATCAAAAAAGGTTATCAGGACTGGCAAAATACTTGTGATTTTAACAATCTAAAATAAGAACTATACCTTTGATATTCCTTGGTCATCTTGACCTTTCTCTAGGAATCCAATCAGGCGTTGGGGAAGATGGATTAACATAAGAAAAACTATTTTCTGTTCTCCATAAGGATGAAAGAATTTTTTCCAGTTGGCATATGAATTTCCATAAAACTCTGTAAGAAATTTGTCTTGATTTCTCTTCCTTTTAAATTTCAGTAAGAGTTGATTGACAAAGCTGACAAATAAATCAGTTGGAGAAAGCTTGAATATTTCTGCTGTTTGTTCCTCTTTATAAAGTTTTTCGTCAACCAAATGTCGACCGATGTCGCGGATAATAGAGCACACGTTTTCCACTGATAACACATTTTTCTCAATTTTAGATGAAGATGAACTCTCACCCACTTGTTCGACGTGTTTACTCCGCTGGTGCTTCGTTAAGCCACCTTTCGATTTGCAAACTTTCTCGCAGAAGTTGCAAGGAAACTGCTTCTTTCCTTCTACCTGGAGGGAAAGGTGTAATAACAATTAAGGTTTTAGTAATACTAACGGTATGAAGTGTAACTACCGTATGACTATACCATTTCTATTACCTCTTCAAGCGAGTGTTCAACTTCGGACTGAACCTCCTCAATATCCATCTCGAGAAGTGCCATAGTTTGCTCGAAGTCGGAGCAAAGGCTAACAGGAAACTCGGATTCGTACTCATCATCTATATCCATGTTTCCAATACGTAAAAGCTGAGTTTTATTGTGTCTATTCGAAGAGTATCGCTGTCTGAAGGTTCACTAAATATACTTGTGACTTGAAATATGATAGCTGGCACCCCGTCGATACTATATACAGCGGAAGCAGCTGGACCAATAGCACATAAAAAGGTCTCAAACGTTGCCTTTCGCATAAGTAAAGTACGACAAAAATGCAATATTTATGAAATCGTTGTAAAACTATCGAAAAAATCCAAATTTTCTGATCGGCAACATAAAATTATACTACAAAATTAAAATGTATGCACCTTGACTGTCACGTGATGTCTTTCTTCGAGTTCAAGTATCGAATAGTCACGTGTCACTTTGAAGTTTGCCGGTCTTCCAAACCCTCCCACTACAATAACTATGCTTATACTTTACGATCATATCTCAGGAAAAGTGAATCGGTGTTACAAAAGTGGTTGTGCGAGATATATAATAACACATATAGTGCATATAGTTTGTACATTTTAGTGTAATAATGTTTCTGCTAATCTATAGGCACAAGAAAAATTCAGTGCAATGCAGCAGTTGTGCTACCTTGAAAATAGTTTTAGCCCAGGTTGAATCGTTGAGGTGGTCTATGGCCTGTTTTCACACGGACAGTCATCCATTAGTTTTGAACATGGCTCTGAGAACAGGTCTTTTTCACCATGGAATATCTTTTGCCAAAAGAAAAAAGCCAATCTTGTATGAAACGCCAATCTGAAGCCAATAAGTAGAATGAGGAATCCTTTCATAGCTTCGTCTTTAAAATGTCTTTCGAGCAATGGTGAAAGATCGTATGCAACATCTAACGCAACAGAAATGAGTTTAACCGCGGTTTCGAGTAAATACATAACAAGGGCGATCCAGTAAAAGAAGAAGAGGGAGTTTTTAGTGAGGAACTCGCATGGTTTCTTCTTGTCGAAGGAGGAGCATTCAGTGATGCAACACCACTTTTTATAACAACCATCACAACCACAACCATTAGGGCAACAACGACGAGGACAACAACGTTCATAACAACACCAATGTTTAAGACAAAAATCATTACAACAGCAACCAACACTACGATCCCAGTGTACGCGGGGAATGAAATTTATACACCAGACAACAATAAGCATTACGATCGGCCAGCATAACAGTAAAATCGATGTTCCTACGCTAATGCCAGCGGGGGTTTCACCAATTCGTATGGCATAAAACATGAAAGTTAGAAATGTCAGGATTATCAATGATGTGAACGAGCCTTTCTTATAGAATTTTTTTGCTTTGTCAAACAGAATGTTTAACCGTTTTCTATAGAAGATAACAATCAGGAAAAAGAGAGCTGACGATAGGATTGACAAAAGCATCCACGCAAAGATCCAAATTTCTGGGTTCGGTACGATTGTATTGTGACTGCAGTCAATAACTGAGGCGTGCTGAATAATTAGACACTGCACATCGTAAGTAGCAAAAATGATAAATGTAACAAATCGAGTAGCGGCAATAAAGACAAAAATCCAGATCTGAAAATAAATAAAATTTAACTTTAGACCTTGAAATAAAGACAACGCGCATTTCTAGAAAAAGGCAATAACCTATCAATAAAACCCATCAAACCTATCAAAGAGAAAACTATCGCTTTAATTGAAAAGTTCAATTTTTCTTCTGCATACGCATAAGGCTGCAATCTTCTAACAGCTCATCATACACATCTGACAGCTGTGACATTTTGAGGCTTAAGGAAAGACATGCAAGGTTTTTAATTCTGACGATTCGTTTTTGCCGCGTGTGAACTTCAAATCTTTTTATAAATATTTTTCTCACCAAGTTTGAAGCCTATATGACCAACTTCCGCGTTATCGATTTTACGAATGTCGCTTTACCGTGGACAAAAATTAATTTTGATAAACGCCAAACGGGGTGATGCATTAGACGATTGCGAAAGGTAGAACAAAACGACAGAACAGACAGCTTAGTAGAGTTCTTATATATAGGCTCTATTCAGCATGGCTAGGCACACAACATACATACTTCACGTCCAATGGCTAGCCCAAAGATTCTTTTCTACTCATCGCAAAATCAACTCGCAAGCTCGCTTCGAGTGTTTGTATCTAATCCCCGAGCCGGTGCGGAGCACCGTGCGAGGGTACTAATTCCGCTCGGATATTTACACCCACGAAATGCGAATGCGAAATCAAAGTCGTCCGCCATTATGCAATGGACCTCACGCCATGGACGGTCTTCTACGTTATGCGCATGCGCCAGTGTGAACTACTAAGCTCTTGATTTGTCGAGACAAAAATTTGTATTTTCAAACGTCAATGAATAACTGTCTTTTAGCAAAATTTTGATTAAATTTATACTTTTATAAATATGGAATATATGTATTTTTACTAAATTAGAGGGAAACTCGAATGAGGTCAGGACTTTTCACGGTTTAACAAATAACAAGACCAAATTTTCGACCGAATTCACCGTGCATAATGAAGTCGGAAGATTTTACACTAGATAATATTTCATCTGGCACAGCTTTAAAAAGTAATTCTTTTGTGGCAAACACAACTTTAATATCCTCAAATGTATTTCACTATAAATCTGAATGTGTTCTGTGATAAACGACATTATAATTCTATTTATAAACTCCGTTTTCCTAATGACAAAAAGAAAACAAAATGAAAACATTCCCGTACAAAAACCAGTCGAAGCGCTGTATGAGACGTGTGATGTTATATTTCATGGTATTTAATAATTAAAATAATTTACCATAACACTGACTATAGATGAGTAACTTAACTTCCAGAAAAAGGTAAAAATCTTGTCGTATTTTTGCCAATTTTTCACAAAAATATGAGGGCAAACTTTGATTCTTTAAAAATATACGGCCATAATCTATGATACGGCCGTTGCGAGTTGCTATGACTACAGTGTTTCCACGTGCAGAAAAATATTTCTATACTTCTCTCAATTTCTATTTCGCAAATACCCTGTAGCCTCCAAAACCCCCAAACCACATAAAATTTCTAACAATCATTAACTAATTTTGTTAAACCTAGGCGAGGGGTTGCTGCATGCATGTATTTCTAGTTAAAATAAACTGTAAAGCATTGCGATTGGACGGAATTAATTACCCGCACTGTTTTTAATCTGATAATGTTATGTAGAATTTTTTTAAAAACAAACTTGTCAATCGCGCTTTGAGAAGAATGGACTTCTATAAGTTTATTTAAAAAACTTTAGTTTTGTCAGTATTATCTAAACAATAATGAGGCTCAGGAAAAGTATATTGTATTATGGAATGTTCCGTGTGTTAAATAAATCGAGGCAATAAAATTGGCATATTGCAGCATTGTCATTCGCATCACTATCACAGCTCGTTCTGCATGGTAGGTCTTATTTAATAACACATTACATCAAGGCGTAGGTGCGGGTTATGTCACAAAATTGAACAACTTTCAGTGGCAAAATGGTCGACTTATCACACATTCTGCCCAAATATGGTGGAGGGGGTAGCAGTCCAACTATTCTGCCTCGCGCTTCGTATATACGACTGTGTGTACTAACACATCACTGCGCTAAACGCGGTGTGTGTCAGTTTTTGAGAAGGCGTCAGGAGAAGCCTACGCCCGTTTATGTCTTCGTTTTGCAAGAGAAATCCACTTTTAGAACAGTTGTATAAATAACTTTATACGTACCATTGAACACTGCAAAACTTTGACGAATTTTGGACTGTTAATAGTTAGGCAACAACAAGGTGGAATACAAACGTCATTAGAACCCTCTGAACACTTTAGTGCTATACGAAGTCGAAGAGAAAAATACTTATCAGAACATTATTTTGCAGCCAATGAACATTGCATGCAATTCAGTACATACAAATCTATAGCATACCTCGACTCATGGTAATTCTGTATGCTCTTAATTCTCTTTCCTTTTAAATTTTTTGGACAATCTTCAGATCTTGAAACCAAAGAGAACTGACTAGACTCCCGCTTCCAGGAAAAAGACAAAGATCTTTTAAGAGTCCACATGCACGCTTGGTTGAACATGAAGTGAAAAACAAAAACAAGCGGAAATGCCAATGAAATACCGCTCAATGCAACATGCAGAATTGATCTGTATAATCAACAAAATTTTTCCTTAACGAACTGCCACTTTTAACGTCTTGCAAACAGATTTTCAGATCACTTATTTATTAGTATTAACTTATGGAAGAACCATTCGACCGGTAATATGGATGCGGTGTTTTGGTGGCGGTCTGCGGAGTATAGCCTAAATTGCTAGAGTAAAGTGAAACAAATGAGTGTTATGTCCCATGGTAATAAATTACACTGTCACACGTTCTGTTCTTGGTCTGTTTATTATTAGAAATGCTCGTCTAAATACTTTATTCGTCAATACTTCGACCATACACAAACTCGTTTCCTAGCTAATCTCTTCTTTTATTATCTGTATTATCATTATTAAAACTATATTATCTGTTCTACATTACTTAAAATAGAATGTTCACGTGTTCGGCGCATGCAACAAATTATTACTGTGTTACAACTATATCGTAACAATAGTATATTCATAAGTTTGACATTGGTTAATTACTAACCATGCATATACATTCTTTGCGTGCTGCACTCAGTGCCTACAGGTTTTCAATTGATATTTGTTATTAAATTCTTTCCGGGAAGTTTCCCATTAATACGTAATTAATTTTTCTCTAGACGGGTTCATCAAAGTGATATGACAATATGATGGAGAATACAAACACTCGCGTAAATTTTTAATTTAATGTGAAAAAAATAGCTAAACTTCAAGTAATAAGTCTTTAAACATTCAGGAAAATATTAAATATCCGCTTGAAATAAATCCTTAAGAAGAGATCTAGAAATAGATAAAAATCAATGGGAAGCCTACCAAAACATTAAATGTCAATTGGAATGAATTTTTTTTTGCCATACTTCGCCAAAAAAAACGCAACGCCAACGAACGAAATCTATATATAATAGTAGCCCACAGTGGAAAATAGTATCCGGGCGGTATATATAAGCTCTTCGGTACCTATACGTGATTACTTTATCCCACTTGAAACTTATAACCAATAGGAGTAACATGCATTACGTTGGAGCCTTTTAGACTATCCGTCAATTATTATCAGGACGTTAAATTATGGATGATCAATGCTGACAATATATAAAGAAACAATAAACAGTACCAACTCAAAAGATTTTTCTCGATGGCTTTTTCAATATAACGCGTATCTACAACAGGGGGTTCGTCAAAAAGGATCCCCTATGAAGATCGAGTATTATCTCTAGTTAATGTTGGCAAAAATTTCACGGGGGCCCCATTTTTTTACCACACCCTGTAAGTACGCTATTTTAGTCGTAGCGGGTTACCAATTGTCACTCAATATCGCTTCGGTGAGGAGAATATTGTATTGTATTGTCGCAGGGCATACACGCTGATGTGAAATTTTCAGGTTTGGACATACGAGTGGACATATAACATTATATTTACATATCACATCATTACACATCATAATATATTTTGAAGTTAGTGAACACCTTTGGGAGTAATAGCGACATTGGCCGATTCAGACCCCGTATCCAGATTCATTTACGCGCGCGTTTAGCATATTCAGCAAAAACACAGGCGGTAACCGCAAACCTTTAAGAGCGCTCTCCAGCTAGAGTGGTAACTTTGAAGACGCGAAGAATCTGGACACTTGTGGACGTCCGTAAGCTGACATTCTCCTACTCGAAACTAATCAAAACTGCAGTAGTTTCGGGCATTGCTTTTATCCAATCGAATATCACTATTAAAATCTATCATATTGGCTGAAGTAAGTGTGCTGTACTAGAACAGCTTTTTGCAATACCATGCAGTGACCAGAAATAAAGGATTCGGAAATTTTTGGAAAGTATTCTAATAATTTTTTCCAAAACAAATACGTCACAATAATGTGTTCGGGCTCATTCATTTTGTTCTGTCGGACCACTCAGCCTCTGAATGCAGCAAAAAGTCTGCAAGTTCCAGGTCCAGCTGACTGGAAGTTCATTATAGGTTTGGCAAATTATCAAACCAATTAGCCAATATCTATAACATTACCGCGAAGGCTGCAAATGTGTTGTATGCATGTAGATCACATTTGAAGTTTTATGTTTCCAAGAGATACATCTCGCTTCCCCTGGATTTCTATTCATATCATGTACATGATTCCTGGAACCATGAAGGGTTTGTCGTACTCGGGCCTAAACTCCCTGATTCACGCTGGGGTAATAGCACACACAACACTCACTTTTAAGACCCGCTGGGATTCACGATCAACCGTTATCTGTTTCCATTCTTTCTTGCATATACTTGTATACAAGCTGATCCTGAAATTGACAATAATGATAAATAATAATGATAATCTTTGCTGACGCGTGTGATATAGTTATTTTTAAACGTAAAGCGGTAATGATGCATGAAAGAAATGCAAGTGCTTCTGACCATTAAATGTTGTTCAAAGGTATAATAGAATTTAAATAGACTATCAAGTTTTAGAAAAAAATTAAACAAACCTTCTCCGACACCGAGGGCTTAATCTTTTTAAACGCTGCATCAAAATGTCTCATCGCAACACCAACAATGGTATCCTGTTGTATCACATCAGGTCCATTCGCATCAAGCATCAAACCCGATGTTCCTTGATATCCCTTCATTCGTTCACGTAATGAGTTGACTGAAGCTTCGCGCACCAAAGCCGCTAGATCTGCACCCCTGCAAATAAAACACGTTTGAGATATGGGTAGAACGAGGTGTGTCAGACGGGTGTTATGCGTCAAATAGTCTTTTGAGGTAAAGATAGTCTGCGCGATAAAGTCATGAAAGAAAGCAATGTTAGATATCTTACGAAAATCCAGAACAGCGTTCATCGGCTGCGATTGTTTCCAAATGAACATCAGAGAGAAGAGTTGGTTTAGTTCCACCCTATATAATAAGATTTACAATTAGTCAATGCCTCTTCCGAAGTCCCATGGCTACAACGCGCTCAAAATTTGGTATGTAATGTATGGCACAGATAAAATTAGTACCGGTATGACTTTCACCCATGCAGAGCCATAGGAATCCCAATAAATATTTGAAATCATTAAATCCGAGCGTTCAAACTTTTCAATCCAGTGGTGCTGTGAGTTCAGTGACGTCACATAGTGACCGCTAATATAAGCTATTACTAGCCAATACTGTTCCCAGAGACGTGCCGGGCGGGAAGAGTATATTGAAGCCCAACATTGTGCTTTCAGTAAAGCCACTATGTTGGGCTTAAATATTTATATTTCTATCACTAGCCTTTGAATAGGTGCATAGTCAAAATGGTAACACCAATTGAAGGGGGCTTGTATAATGTTGATAAATCACAAAGAGATCAAAGAACTTTAACTACGAACCTTTGTTAAGGTTTGAAGGATCGCTAGCCTGTCTTTCTCTTGGGGTAAACCGACGTAAAGTATTTTATCAAGACGTCCAGGTCTTAGAATGGCTGGATCAATGATATCTAAAAAGAAAAACGTTTCATTTTTTAATGAAAGAAACCTATGCATATCAACCTGAATGTTCGTTAAAATTCTTCGCACTTCATTTGATAAGCGAAATGACACCTGAATTGTAAAATAATAATGTTGCAATTAAATATTCAACACATATAAGACATTTGTTAAGTCATTCACGGAATGGCGTATTTCTCTGACTCTTCCACAGTCCCTAACAAAGCGATTCCTGAAAGTCAAACTATGTTCAAGAGCAAAGTGTTCATTTTTTACCTGGTCTGTTTGTAGCACCCATTATGAAAACTTGTTTTCTTGTCTCAAGTCCATCCATCTCTGTCAGCAACTGGTTCACAACACGAGCACTTGCGGTGGACTAAATGAACAACATTGTGTAAGTTAATTGATAAAGTGGCAGGCAATGACAGCCTGCAGACACTCGTTTCTACATGTGACTATCCTACTTCGGCACTGTGTGATCTTCGTGGACACAATGCATCCAGTTCATCAAAGAAGATCACGCATGGAGCTGAATTCCTTGCACGTTGAAACACCTGACGAACGGCTCGCTCGCTCTCGCCGACATACTACAAAAAGAAAATAACATACCTCAGGAAACGATCTTTAGAAAGATGGGATAGCATGTACCGAACCAGGAATGGTTTAACAAGTAGTTTTGTCAATATTGTGTCGCACTGGTCTGCCTATGTTCCTCGATTAAAATTGAATCCAGGCCGGTTACTGCCAAAGTTACAGGTTAGCGCTAACCGGCCTGGATTAAATTTTAATCCAGTGTTTTAGTTTATGTGCTTCTGAACCACTGTTCGTTTTGAAACTTTAGAAAATGAGACTTCTATCAGTCCAGAAAATATTTATGAAAAAAGATATTCAACTTGGTAAACAAGCGATTTAAAAAATCGATGTAAAGATTTGCTTTAACCCAGGATTAAACTAATCGGCTTTTTATGAAGTCAAACTGGTTAGAAATTGGGATCAATCTTAAAGTCAAATCTCCCTCGAAGTCAAACAATTTACATTTTATATGCGAAATACATACCTGATGCGAAAATATGCAATTAATGCATATTTTCAGGGGTCGATTCGTAACTGTTACAACTAAAATATGCTGCGAACAATCTATATGTTCGTTGCGATGTTGCCTAATGTTCAACATACCATGTTCAGTAACTCCGGTCCTTTAACTGAAATAAAATTTATCCCGGATTCATTTGCAATGGCCTAAGTGAAAACAGTTGAGCGGTTAATCAAGGCTGAGAAACAAGGGTGACATGGGTTTGCATGTTACATCTCATTGAAACCCTGCATGAACTTCAGTGAAAATGCTATTATATACAGTACCTTTGCAAGCAGGGTTTTTCCACAACCCGGGGGTCCGGCGAGTAATATTCCAGGGGGGTTGGTAAGACCAAGCTGCGTGAACGCGTTCCTATGTCGCACTGGTGCCTAAAGATTGGACAAATGCTATATGTCCAGTCTATAAATCGTTTCATGAGGATCTTAAGGTTTGTTCACACGATCCAATTTTGTTGGATCCAATTCACTTCTGATGGATGTTTTATAGTCTGTTGTCTTGTAATGTATATCAGCAGGAAATCCACTGAAACCAATGTACTACGGTTTCACAAATTGCCGACTATATTTCATACGTCAGAAGTGAATTGGATCCAACAATATTGGATCGTGTGAACAGACCTTTATTCTTGCATTTCAAATAGCATAGTCTTCTTTGGCAGATATGCATGAAGACTGACAAAACCCACAAGCCTTAATCACTGAACTATAATAAACTGAATGACTACGGTAACTCAGGGGGAGAGGGTGTTGAAGTTATTGCCTTTTGGTTTTTTGAGTTTTGAGCAGAACTTAACAATGGCATTGTCATTACATTTTCAAAATGTTTATCTTTACTGGTATAATCTTAAAATGTCTACACCGCATAGAAGATTATATACAGCCTAACGTTTGGGGTCAAATATTTTAGTTAAGCCAACTTGGCTTCAAGCAAACATACAGCAGGATTATGTTGCTCATTCTTGCAATATATAGATATCCCGCGAGCTAATTAAATTGGAGTTTACTGGTCTTGATACTCACAATAATTGCCATTGTCAACTCTTCCCTGACGTCTTTCAACGCTCCAATGTCATCCCACGTGACATCGGGGATTGTCGCGAAACCCTCGCGTTTCGCGGAAGGTTGAACATCGCGTAGAGCTTGCTGCGGACGAAAAAAGGTAAATTAGCTTTCTTACTTAACTATATATACAACACGATTAATATTATGGTTATGGTTCAACCTCCGTCAGGCCCGAACCGAAATTGGCAAAGGAAATTAGATCACAAAGCACTCGAACAACAGAAACTTACCGTAAAATCCTCCATTCTGATACACAAATCTTTCAGTTGCTCTTCAGAAAAAGAAGCCTGGCTTGATTTCAACAAATCTGTAACTAAAACACAATACGCGATAATTGTATTACGAAAACGTTTATTCTAATAAACGCCCCAATCCTATATAAACGCTCCTCTAGCCCAGCGAAACATGTAATAGTCAATTATATCTCATTACTTCATTTTTTACACTGGTCATTTTTTACACTGGTATACACACACGTGCATATAAACGTGTGAAACGTACCCGGGGGATTAATTTCTCTGAATGCTTCAAGTTTTTAATTACATTTCAAGGCATTTAATATAAATGTTAACTAGTTCAGCAAAATATCCTGTCATTTTAGCACCGTATATACTAGCTACCAACCGCACTTTCTGTTGAACTTAACTTTTTCCCATAGCATTAATATTTTGTTTGAATTTTGTCCAGATTTTCCATTTCTCATAGTAATCTCCTCCCTTCCTTTGGGCCTCTCAGATTACACTTATATCAACATCTTGAAACGTGCCTTAATAGGCATGCATGCTGTAACTCACCATTTCGTTGCATGATGTCGCCAGGCTTCTACAAAAAATAAATATGTGCATTAAAAAAATGAAGAAATTGATATATCAGTGAATATAGCATAGGATTTCAAAACATCTTGCCGCTCGATTAGCCAATTCCTGCATGGTCACTGCATGTAAGCGGGAAAAGTTACAAAACATAAATTTACCAATGGATTGGATGGATTAACTAAAGTTACATACATCATTGGTGTTCACGTCTGTTCCAACATCACTAAATATTCTAAAACAAAGTGAAATAAATGGGTAAATTAATATAAAATTTCACTGCATATACTTGTATAACTAAAAGTGTGTAAAACTTCAACTGAATGGTTATAAAAATAACAATATGTGCCTGCAAGGAGCACATAATTCTTCACATTTATTGATAAATCGGAAAAAGTAAGGTCTATTGCCTCATGACCCCCCCCCCCCCCACGGTAGTTATCGCCCCAGTTGTCTTAAAGAGGTCACTGATCCTACCTGGTAACTGCACGTATAGCAGCTTCTCTTACGAGGGCTGTGAGATCAGCACCAACAAAACCTGGTGTTTGACTTGCCAGAGTCTTGAAATCGAATTCCTCGTTTAACTTGAGGTCTTTGCACTGGACGCGCAGTATCCTGCAAAAGTAAGAAGCAACTTGTATATTATGTCGACGATTTAAATTTTCTATGTGGTGGCTACGATGGGTACTGCAATTTCGACGTGCCGATTACAAGTTGACATTCGGTTAAGATGTATGGAAGTACATTCTGTAATTTTGGCCTTAACTTATATAAACGCATTAGAACAAACGGCCCCTAAACATTCGTAGTTCTTTTCAAAGGTCAAGTTTCAAGGAGATAAAACACATGCAAGTTAAAAGATAAAATATTTTGAGGTATATATTCCTTACTCTTCTCTGGCTTGTTCGTCGGGTATGCCCATTTTGATCTCTCGATCGAACCGTCCAGCTCTTCTAAGGGCAGGATCAAGGGAGTCAGGTCGGTTCGTTGCTCCGATAACAAGTACCTGCAATGAATGACGCAGGATTTACGCACATATTAAAAACACATATCAGCCATTCTTCACATGATCAACACTAAAGCGAGTTTTAGCAAATGTTAAAAAACTTACAGTGACTAATTTATTTAACATTCCGTATTTTCGGCAGGATACTTAATGATATCGTACACCTCTTATAGCGGGAGTTACAAGTACATGCTGTGAAGACTATATAGTCTCATGCAATTATACGTAATAAAAGTGGCACCTAATTGTGCTGCCTAACCCTCGCCACGATGATTAGGTACCTCCTAAAATATATTTGCCTGCTCCCTCAACAAAATCACGGAACCAAGGAAGGATATCTTGAATTAAGAAATGGCGAATACATCATATACAAGTTCATACCTGGACTTCTTTATTGCGATTAAGCTCGTCCAAACACGACAACAATTGCGCGACAATACGTCGTTCCATTTCCCTCGAAGCGGTCTCACGTTTCGGTGTGATCGCGTCAATCTCGTCCAGGAAGAGCACGCAAGGCGAATGCGCGCACGCACGCTTGAACACGTCACGAATCTTTCCCTCGGATTCTCCAGAGATCCCAGAGACCATTTCGGTCGAGGCCACGTCGATTATTGGAACCTCAATTTCACCAGCGATCGCGTGGGCAAACAGGGATTTCCCACATCCTGGGGGTCCGTGGAGTAAAAATCCCCTCGGGGGTGTGATACCCAGGGTGTTAAACACCTCCGGGTGTTTGACGTGGATGAGAAGTTTGCATACTTCCTAAATATAATTTTCAATTCAAGTTTCAAGTTTTGTCTGAATATCATGTCACGAATACAAGACTCCAATTTATTGGTAAAAAGCAATAAACGCCGCTCTATCTCTGTTGCAAAGAACATTGAATATAGCTCTCCTATTTTAATGATTTTCCATAGGCGACCCATTACGGCAAAGCATATAATTATTATGGCATATAGATTTTCAAAATATCCTAATCAATCTGTGCCATTACAACACTGTCAAAGTAGAAGCCTCTAACTGACATTTTAGTATCTACATGTAGTTGGTATTTTTTTAAGGTCGATTTAATGTTTTGACGCAATCAGTGCTTCCACTTTGCAAAATTGAGACTGCGAGGTTGAATCACTGGGTTGAATTGAGCCCTGTTGAAATTTCAGTTTCGTCAACACAGCAGGTCGAATTAAACCCCGGTAGAGCCGTAGGAAACAAGATGAAGCTCGGAAGCAAGTTGAAGACACTTGTAATTAAGATAAGCAATTGCATGTCGTATGTATTTCCATCAGGCGCTGCATCCTCACTGTAGCGGAATTTTTACTATATCGTTTCAGTTAAAGCTCATATATCTCTAAACGGGCATAACCTGAATGTCAGCCATGCAAAAGGGCACTTTTTCTTTCAAATCACTTTGAATGCTGGGGGGAGCACATGCATTCAGTACTCCTCCGACTATCACGCGCTGAAGAACCCCGGGGTTATCTAACCTAAGTAAAATATGAAATAAAAAAACCAACCTGAATGCAACCGCCGCAACCACCAAGATCACAAAACTTAACTTCAGGTACTGAGGGTATCTTTTCTAAAAAACATCAATGTACATTTGTCAGGATTCCAGCGCCATTTAAACCGTGGTTAAACAATGATTACATCGATTTGGAGACAGTTTGTTATATTTAAACTTTAAGAAATATACAAATTACGGATGGACATCACCAGAGTCGTTTGGCACGTGAGAAATGACAAACTATGTTAATGAAAAACCCTTATCAGCTTTGAGAATTGGAGTTATGGAAAAAGTTATGAAAATTATACCGGTATCGACTGACAAGATATCTTTAGAGGCCGTCTTTTTTACCGAACGAGACGGAGTCCCTTCTTTTCTTGACGATTTCTTGTTCTGTTTTTCAACTTTTGCATTCTCATTAGTTAAAGCTGGTCGTTCTGAATTCGTATTCGAGGTTTGGCTGCCAGTGGCAACGTCACAGCTTTTTGGCGAACTACACTTTGAAATAACATTCTTGCTGGGGATATCGTGGCCATTTATGAGCGGCGAAGAGTTCTTTTCGTTGCGGTATATTTGGCTGTTTTGTTCTAGTAGAGTTTGTCCATTCTTAACAATGTCACCCACGGCCAAGGGGGTTTCTATCTCGTCTTCAGAGTTTCTTCTCGAGTTTGACGATGTTTTGTACATTTGATGCATAGATTGGTTCAATAAATTTCCAGTCTGCATTAAAAAAAATCCAGCACAAGACATCGCTATAAATTTGCTAGTCTGGTTTATTTGGAAGTGATAACATCACCCAAACATTACATTCTCAACCCAATGTTCCACACTCTAGTCCAACTAGTACTTGTATTGCCTAGGTCAAGGGTGATCTGATATGACTACTTTATATAAGGTGAGTTCAGGTGAGAATTATATGGTATATAAACAAGTTATAAATTAGATCATAATTAACATGAAGACAGAATCTTTGTATGGTGATTACTTCCATAGTGATCTATTATGATTTGTTTGCACTGTGAAGTAGCTAATTAGGCAGCCCAAGGAGTGAATTATATTCAGTGTATAAATATATATATATATATATATATATATATATATATATATATATATATATATATATTTTATGGCATTCAGTAGTATAAATTAAACTGGTCCAAGTGCAAAATTGCACAAAATGGAGCATTTTAATTTAATTGTATTAATGTATTGCAAAGTTTGGTAAGAAATGTTGGGTTTTAAATTCTCAATGTGTATAAATAGTTATATTTCGGTAAAGAATTTAGTTTTCTGAAAGGCATTTATGAAGTAAAAAGGTCTCAGAACTTTGAATCAGAACCTAGGACTAAGAATGTTGTTGATGAAAACATTGGCCATTCTGATATGAAACATTGATGACAACATTTGTAAAACAAAGCATTTGTAGAAATATTTTCAGATCCCTCAGGGGAAGGTTTTCAAATTTAGGCCAAGTTTAAAGAATCGCTTACCCCAACACCTTCTCTCAGCTCATCTTCAGAAAACTCTGAGTCAGAGGATAATATCATCCCATCTTCAGGATCACTTAACTCCACTGTTCTAGGAGAGAAAATCAGTTTAAATTACTACCGGTACAGTTATAATTGAAAATATTAGCAATAAGGAACATGATTTTATAATTATATTAATTAGCAATTTCCTCACAGATAACTTTCATCTTGCTTTCTCTTCCCCAAGAACTTGTCTTCTAGTTCTTGAAGTTTTCTATCTTCTGCATTTTCATTCTTTATTTGCTGGTAAACTTTGAAAAAAAAATTGAAACTTCTCAAGGGGTGTAGATTTTGGTAGAAATTTAGCTGTATATTTATGTTATTATTAAAATAATCAAATAATGACCACACAACTTTGGACAAGTTCTGAACTTGTTTGGGCAGGGAGATTACTGCGCTGGTAGCATATGGAAGTAGTACGGTATATGGCAATACCTTTTTGAACAGAGATCCTGAAAGCACCTCTCTTTTTCCTTGAATACTCCCTGAAGCAATCAAAATGTTTCGTTTGTTTCATGAGTGAAAGAATTGCACAGCATGAAGTGGCTGTATCCTGACCGTAAACTGAAGCATTTAAATACCATGACATCTAGTCCTCTACAACCTGAATGTTTCTTGTAAATGATCAACTGCCTCATCAAGTGATGGTTGTCGTCCTTTGTTGTAACCACTCAAAAACTAAAGCAAGTATTAATAACGAAATATAGTTCTAAAGAAGTTGAGAAATATAAGTACGGTTTTGTACCGAAAGTTCGAGTGAACACAGTGATCGACAGTGAGATGCCTGGAAAAACGTACACACATTGACGAAGTTTTCAAAATTTATACCTGTTGTAATCTTGGCAACAACTTGTTATCGCATATATACAAGCCCTTTCCCTTCTTCGGTCGTTTATCAACTTCAAAAGAACTTGGGGAAAACGATTTCGCCTTCTGCCTCTTCATGATTGTTCAAGTGTTGAATACACACTCCATTCACTCCATGCGACGGCCATATTGTATTTTCAATTTTGAAATTTCCCAGGGGGGGGGGGGAGAGAGCCGAAGTGAGTGACACATTCCAAATTTGAATTTTCTAAGTATAGAATTCGTTTACTCTTTATTGTTTATTCGAAAACCCTCCTCAAAAATTTGTGGATATTTAGCTATAAAAAGCACTAAGATTTTCAGAATGGCCAAGATTCCCGAAGATGGAAAGCATGATCCCGATGATCAGATATTTGAGGTGATCTTTCGCCGGAAATGCTATTTGTTTGGGTTGGAATTTGTAGTACACAAGGGGACGTGACATTCAATAGTGTTGTCGAGATTTGTATTTTTTATGTATTTACGTTCAAATAAGTAAATGGAGCAATTTTTCACCATTGAAACTGCCCATTAAAGTTGGGCACTTCTCTGCAAAATGTACAAACATACAAAAAACGCACTATTCATATATGGCATCATATTTCTTCCATGGGGGGTGAATTAACCGTTGGAAACACTTTTAGTAAACAGAAATTTCTGTTTGAAAAAATCTTGAGTGTATAAAATGACATACAGTGATTTAGAAATTACATTTGACATATGATCATACTAGGACAATTTATGTTCTGTGTCTGTGCTACTAGTGGTTTACCATAATATATTTTCAAGATCCGTAATCCAAAAATTTGGCCGAAGTATATTAGATGATTGGAAGCCTGACAAACTATTGTGGCTCAATTGATGTTTTGAAGCTGTTTTGAAGCTGAGACAATTGAATTTACTCTGTGCTTTGCATTAAATATCTCTTTGAATATTAGGTTGAGAAGATTTTATCAAAACGTAAAAAGCGAGGCAAAGTGGAATTCCTTGTCCAATGGAGAGGTTATGGCCCAGAGGAGGACTCTTGGGAGCCAGAAGAAAATTTATTTGACTGTTTAACTGCTATTGAGGCCTTCAACAAGGAAATGAAAAAAGGCAAATCTAAAACAAGGGTATAATGATCTGTGTATTGTTACTCCTTTATTTAGTGCATGGGCAGGACATGACTGTGGTATAGCTGGGATTGAATTTAAATAAAAGTTTGCTGTGCAATCAAAGTGGTTGAATAATCCTAATTTCCTTAATGTTGGTTGAAAGGTTGCAGATTCAAAATTTTTCTAATGTCCAGTATTTTCTGTTTACCTAGTTGTTTCACTAGAAGCAGTATATGCTTCATCATTAAAGATTGCATACAACCCAGCAAGTGAGAATTAGGACTGAATACAGAAGCCCAGGGACAAATTGTTGATCACAGGCTGGCCGACCACTCCGTTGCGATCAGCCAAAACATCTAGCACTATAACTGATACTTGCAAGGGCAGCATGGGTGGTATCCTCCCCTCCATCAATGTGACACCAGCCTATGTAGATAATCTCATTTCTGCCTTTTTGTTTTTAGCAAAGTCGTGTGGATGACTATTTGCAGAACTCGCGTAAACCAATATCTTCGGGCCCCTCACAAGAAGAGGATCTCACTAAATATCAAATTTTACACAAAATATCATCCCCACCTATATCACCACACATAGGTAAATATTGAAGAACCTCTGGTTGTGATTCTGTCTCAATCTGTATTGAAAAAAATAGAACATGATTTTTTTTTCTCTGGCTGATCGAACTACAGCAATGTATAAGTAATCATGTATGAATTAGTTTACAGTGATATTTGGTGAAAGGTGAAAGGTTTTTCACACCTTTGTTGCACATTAGTCCTTCAAAGTAAAAAATGTTGAATTTAGGACTCATGTAAGTTAAGGATATAATCTGCTTCCAAAGCATTGAATATATGTGGCTATACTCATACTTTAAATTATTACAATTTTTGCCTTATCTTAGACTTTTCTTTATAGCTACCAAGAGAAGAAGACAACCAGAAATTAAGCCTGCTGAAGATGAGAAACCAGAGAGAAGAAATATAAAGGCTCCAAAAGAGAAATCTTTTTTAAAAATATTAGCAGCAGTTACCTTGTTTGTACTGCTTATTTTAGCAATTGTGCAACCTGTAGGAATTATTAGTAAATTAAAGAGCGCTTAGTCATAGACATAGGTTTAGTTAAGATGTGTTGTGGTGACGCTATGCAGCTAACTGAAAGTGATTCTTATAAAATGCCCTCCAGCTTTATAATGCAGGCTGGGTATCAAGTGTGTCCAGTTTCATACTGCGGTCTGTGATTCACTTGCGCCCGTATTGTTGGAACTGGACAAATATACTTGTACCCAGGGGACATAGAAACTTACATATTGAAATCATGTGTCTAAGAGTATAAAATTTCACATGTTGAAGTATGGTCACAACTCGAGTTGCGCTGAAGGTGACCAGTATTAGTAAAATTTACTAATTGTTTAGGATGGGTGCCTGACCAGCGGTATTGGGGCCGTTTTAACTGGATACCCCTGCCTCTTACCCAGGCGCTTTATATTGCAATGCTAAAAAGCCTTTGTAAAAAGCCTAAATATGAAAGCGCTGGGTACGAGGCATATGGGTGACAATGAACTTTCTGTTTCTAGGGACAAGGGCGACGTCGGGGTTTACAAAGTTATTTAATACATTCATATAACCATGTAGCTTTAAATGTAGCTTTACTTAGCCGTAGAACTATTTTAAATTTTTTATGTAAGGGTGGTATTAATAATATATTTATTGTGCAAGTCGAACACTTTCACGTGATTCGAGTCAGGTGAAGTCTGGCGTGGCAATTTCTGCGTGTAGCAGATTTTGGTTGCACGGTTGTATCCGCAAAAGATTTGTTGTCCGTTTCAATGCTGCGCGTTCACACATGCATTTACGCTGGAATCTCATGATCATATGAGTCATATCTGCAATAGAGCATGCGCATCAACAACAGTGGCTAGTGAGTCAGCGGTCACAGCCACGTCAGTGCATGGTCCAACGTACAGCCATATGTATACAGCTGATTTTAATGTGTACAGGATTCTACACATATTAAGTGTTACGGCGAAATACGAGTAAAAATCATTAGTTTGCCAAAGAGACGCCTGATTGCAGGCTACGAATGGGCCAGGAGTCATCAGTGGAAATCACGAATAAACCTGGGCTGGACCGCCCATTTTGCCTGCAGTGTCTATTGCGCACGCGCGGAAAAGCCACATATTCAATTAGCGACGTCACAGTCTTGCGTTTTTGATTTATTTCGCATACACAGTTATATCGATTACAGTTGTTAGAAAATTCTTGGAAATGGAAGTAGCAAACGTCGCACGTCAGTTCATTGAAAAGCGGCCAAACACGAGCATATTCGTTGGCTTGCTCCTTGTAAGCACTTGTATACCAGTGGCAATATTCCTGGCGATAGTTCTTGGATTTTTCCTCGTCATGCTCACGGGACTGCTGGTTGTCCAAGGAACCATCATAGGCCTGGGTTTGACGACATTGTTAGTGATCCTCCCAGGTCCCCTGTGCTTCGCCACGTTCTGCACACTTCTGGCCTACGTGGTCCAGTGCGTCTTCGCCAAGGTGAAACCTGTTTGCAAAAGCGGCATGGGCAGCTTGATGAGTCGAGTTCAGATGGCCTCCGCTTCGCTACCCACCTGCCCTCAGGGCCAAAGGTTCGGTGAAAATGTGATGGCGTTCATAACCAGAGGGAACATGGAAGATTTGGGGGTAGACTTGGACGAGACTGGAAGCATTGACGATGGTTATGGTGGCAGTTCTTTCAAGCAGCCGGGATCACAAGCGAAAAACGTGAAGGAAATGGGTTTCTAACAGAAACCTCAGACCTGTTCCTAACAGACTTAATAATTAACGTAAAACGGGATCGAAATTACCAGTATGCTTGTGAAGTGGTAATTGATGATTATCCTCAATTTATACGCATGCATATTCCTTGTAAAACAATTTTTACCTTGTATTTAGAGTTTATTTTTTTTTTATAACTATATTTTCCGTGAATGTAAACTGTTTTATTAAATTTTTGAGTAAATGTGTTGGATATAGCAAAAAATACAGTTAGGTCCAGGGCGCTTATAGAGTATATAAGCGCTCTGGTTAGGTCTATCGGAATATGGAGAGTAAAACAAGACTTGGTAGTAAGATCCACTTACTTGTTTGCGACCATTGTATTCTAAATTATTCCACTGCACTCACAACTTTAGCATCTTTACAATGTATGCATATTGAATTTTTTTTCAAAAACTTTTTACCCATCTATCAGCGACACATATATATGATTCTGTTCAATGAAAAGAAAACAAAGGAAGTGCAGAATTAGATAAATCGCTTTTGATACAACCAAATTGAAGATAATTTATGACCCATCCATACTTCGTTCGACCAACGTTCTACAGGACACACCATGCACCTTAAATCATCAAAGCTTTTGCTAAAACATCCAGTTAAAAGTTGGACTACATTTGTGCAATCACCTCATGTAAGAACTCGTGTTACTGCATGCTAGATGAAAAAATTCTCAAGTTTGATAACGAGAATCGTTGGTGGATTTGCTTTTCATATAAATGACATACGTTTAGTTTTCACTAATAAATATATGATCATAGAAATCTTTGAAAGGCATTTGGTCAATTGATTGCCTTCGATCGTTACTTCCTGGAGCTACGCCCAACGGCGTATGTTCGTTCCGCCGATGAAGTTGAAGAAAAGCACACATTGTTCCACTATTGAGCTTTTGAGGTGAAGTTAGTGAACAACGAGGGTAAAATATCTGAGTCACTTGAAGATGATTCTGAGTCACTGGAATCAGAGTAAATCCCTAAACTAGGAATATAACCGATTTGCTGGGCTACAGTCGTGTTATCAATGTCAATAGAACCTGTCCTGTCGAGTTTTTCACTTTCCCGCGATGAGACACCAGCTTTATCTTCCAAATGTGAGCTTTTCCTCACGTCATCCTTCACCACTTCACTAGGTACTAGTGTTTCATCTATAATGTAGCCCAAAAAATGGGGTGCTCTTGAAAATGGAATCTGGGATTTAAAATTGGGCATGCATGTTTGCAAGAGATGAGTTGACATATTGCTATTGTATAATAAAAGCTGTGGACAGGCTTGAAGTCAGTCACCATATTTCTTTCTAGACCCATAGCACACCGGTCATAGAAAATCGTATTATAAGCCAAAAACAACATCACAGAATAGTGCATTTTTGCACTTTCAATGTTGATTGTAGTCATTGTACCTAGATGCTGAGGCCACAAAAATACTTGCGCATGTTTTTTTTTGTTATGAGACTATATGGTTTGGCTGGCTATATATGGATGCGGGATGTTTAAATAAAGAAGATGCATGGTAAAAAAAAAAGGATTCACCTGGATTGGCCGGCATTTTTTCCACAGATTTTTCATCTTCACTGCTATTAGTATCACTCCTGTAATTTTCAATAAAGAAATTATCAAGAGAAGCCACAGATCGAATTGCATGCATATGCTTCTGTATGTCAGCACAAAATTAAAAAAAATGCATATATGTCCTCATGCACTACCAATGAAACAGTGATATGGAATATGCATGCTGTGACTTTACCTTTTCCTCTTTGTTTTGATACACCCTGCCAAAAGCTCAACTTGAGACTTTTTTTTACCCAACATTACATTTGACTTTCTCTTCTCCTTTTCGTCTAACACAGAGGATGGATTGGGCATTGTTTGGAGACTTGCAACCTCGTTCTGATGGGATAATTGTGTTAAGGACAAATATAAAAGTTTGGGAAACGAAACTATACCCCACTTGATGAAGTGGGAATAAATACAATTTTTAACCACTTGTTAATTGGCTTATAGAGAATATATTAATTACTCAGTTATGCTGGATTTGAAACTTAGAATAATTTTTCCTTAGAAGGGCACCAAAAATTACATAGGTAATGACATTTAGTTTGCGGAAAAGGATACTCTAAATTCCTTCACTTCAGGAGTAACAGCAAATCGCCTCCCATCAATCTCGGCTTGCTGCTTTGAAGCAAACTCAAGAAATACAGCTTCGTCGTTGTCAATACCACGAAACATCTTTTCTTCATAATAAAAATATACAATTATACAATTGCATTAATGCAGGTTGCAATTTTTACATCGAAGGTACTGAAATTTGTAAAAAAATATCAAACTTATTTTAGAGCTGTCTTAATTAGAAACATTCTTACTTATATCATATTTCTCATCATGTTCTTGTTGTGATTTTTCCTTTTGCTCCTGGAGTTGCTCAAACAAGCTACGAGTTTCCACATGATCAGGGCATTCTAAAATACATTGATCAAGTACTGTTATCATGTACATACAATATATACACCATTTTATTAATAACCAACCAGGAATAAGCATGGCATCTTGTGAGTTTTCAATCAACAACTTTCCAAAAAAATATATAAAAAATCTCAACATTTTGACCTCTGCATGATGTCTTTTGGAGAAGGCACTCGGATAGTTAAACATTACTGTTCCATTTTTTAGTTTATATAATTTGATTTCCAATCAAGAATCAACCAGGGAGCCTGGCACTTGAATTGTTAACTAATTGCACTGCATTTTTCTCTTGACAACGACAGGTACAAAGTTAGACTCCTAATTAATTAAGATATAATTATATTATTTAGGGACTATTTCTGACTTATATGGAACATCCATTGTACATATTTTATAATAAAGAAAGGAATAATTAACCAAGAGGGATGCGTGAATAATAATAATGACATATAAATGAGGCTGTAATTGCAATATTAATTTGCAACAATGAAATGTACATTTTATTAATTTTTGTTTCTCACCCACAGGGTCGTCTGGTTGTCTGACTCTTTCCCATTCTTTCTGTCGTTTCTCGTTCAGATCTTTTGCCTCTTCCTCGCTAACAAATGATTTTATGTTTTTGTTGGATTTCTTAAAGCTCATTTCGTCTTCTTGTCGTGTACCAACATGAATAAGTTACAATTGTACAAAAACAACCCGTGCTACGGTTTTAAAACTCAACAATTCTACCATTCAACTGAAGTCAGTGAAGTGTTTTTTTGTTATAAAAATCACATCTTTTAACGTATGTAATTTCGCAAAAAAGAGAGAAACTTCAAATGTTTCTTAATTTTGACCAATAGTATTACCGTATTCAACACATTCACTAGATCGCATGCTTTAAAAAGAGAATCAAGTCTAAAAAACAGGCCGTACCTTTACTCGGCTATAAGCCTGCTTGCAGGTCATAGAAAGTTTAACGAATATGTTATTACATGAAGTGATCTCATCGTCGCTGACCTAGTTCTTCGCAGCATTGTTGGCTCACAAACAATGGCTGACATAATTCTGCTTCATGCTTATAAGGGACGGGCAAAATCGGTTAATTTGAGCAATAAAAAACTTTCCGGAGTGCCAAATTTGGTTGGGAAACTTTCCAATGTGAGGATACTCGACTTAAAAAATAATAAAATCCGATCATTGCCCGCGGATTTCGCCGCCATCCGCCAGGTATGGAAGCAAATTGTTGCTAGGTTACGACGCTAATCTCATCTTTATGATCTTCAGAGCTAATCTTGAAACAATTTATGTATGTTAGACTTGATGGATGATATATTCAACTAGAAAAACTTGAAACTAAACTTCTGCGTTTAGTTTATGCGTTGATGATGTTGGCAATTGCCACTTATTAAACCTGGCAGTTGGCCAAAGCATCATGCACGTATTAGTATTACTACAGAATTAGCGATAGATTTACAGTCTGGCTAATTTACAGTTAGTCGGTAAAGTAAACAAACACTTTATTTTTATCGCATCAAATGCGGTACAACAACTGCCGAAATCAGACAAATTGGCTCAATTACGTGGTCTGAATGATCAACCCCAACTATACCTGTATATAACTCCTTAATTGACATATATCGGCCATATATCCACATGCAATCTTGTTTTAACAGCTCTAGCCACTGTGTACATTTAATTCCACAAACAACTAGTTTCCTATGCTTCAAATAAATGCACTAGAAAATTTAAAACATCCTGCAGCTGTTACCTTTTTAGTCTTCACTGCAGGCTTCCCATTTTTAGTCTACTAAATTAATTAGACTTACTTCACTGTGATATTAGACTTTGTGCTTTTACAAGCTAGTAATTGACTTGCAAATGTAGGTAAGAAATATATCATGTGTCTTATAAGGATTGGTTGATTATTTTACTGAGTTTACCTCTTGCAGCTTGAAACACTAAACCTTGGCAATAACCTTCTTGAAGAACTTCCTGCAGAATTATGTTATCTTGTGAATCTGAAAAAACTTCATCTGTTTGCAAACAATATCATAACATTGTGCCCTAGAGTTTTGTGTAAGTGCAACTCAAGTTACATAAAAATGAAGTTTGATTCAGTAAATGCGCTGGTTAACACCCCTTTCTATGCCAATTCCAGGTTGTTTGCAACAGTTAACATTTTTAAACCTTAATGAAAATATGTTGACATCTTTGCCCCCGGATATTGACAGGTATATTTCCATGCTAAATAGTCTATAGAAATGTGTCTCTTGACACTTGTGCATGCATCAAATTAAATACATAATTTTCAATTCCAATATATGACTGCATGATTGAACAAGATGCACAAATATGGTTCTTCAACTTAATTAGGCTTGTGTCTCTGGAGTTCCTAAGCGCCAACAAAAACAAGCTCCGCAGTGTTCCAGATGAGATATGCCATCTCACCAATTTAAGTGAAATACATTTAGCTGACAATTTCATTGAAAGGTATTGTTGAAAATTAGAGAAAAATGTTGCCTGCTGAACGTTCTCTCGCCTATTAATTCGTCCAAAATACAATTCTATACGATTGCATATCGAACCATATATATTATATTCTAAACACAGGTAAATTATATCGATATTCCGGGAGACACTCCTTATTTATAATTTTAGCCTTCCAGAAAATATCGCATTTCTCAGAAACCTGACGCGATTAGTACTGTACAAGAACAAAATCACCGAACTTCCTGAGGTACAGTAAAGCCCCAAGTTTCCTTGAGTTTTATTTGCTCGTGTGTACGCGAAAAAATTGACAAGTTTTCCTTGACAAAGGGGGCCTCGTTCAAAAGCTATATAGTCATGCCAGCTTTTCAAGTACGAAACTGCGCAACAATATCTTCGAGCCAATTGAGCGGTTTTTGGAAGTTTTATCATTACTGTTTGTTTTGAGATTCGCCGATGGTATACTCATTTTATCATATTGTCATAAATATACTCGACATATATATTATCGTAAAACGTAATTGTCAAGAAAAACTTGTCAAAGAAAACTTGTTCGCCATACACACGAGCAAGTGAACTGGTCAAGAAAAGTTAGAAAACTTGTCAAGGAAAACTTGCCCGTCTGTACGGGGCTTAAAGTCAATACAGCGCGATTCAATTATCGGATTGTCGTACGTATACGTACCATATCCCGCGTAATATGAGTGTTGCATGTGATTGAATTACGTCCCATGCTATAGACAAAGAGTCTGCAATTTAATCTCCGTTATGCTCAGCATTCGAAGTGCTACAGATTCATGTTTCCACCAATTGCATGCACGAAAAAGTTTGTATTACTATGACTATGTGGATTTGACCCAGAGTCAACGAAATCAATATCTTTAAGAACGCAGGCTATTGTATTGAATTCTTGCCTTATTCCGACTCATATCCATGACCATGTCATTGCATTTGTATTAGGGTTTGTCAAAGTGCTCTAAATTAGAGTGCTTGGACGTTTCATGCAACCTGATGAAATACTTCCCAGTCGAGGTAGGTGATCATGACCTGATAATTTATAAATGATTACTGTTTATTGATCACATGATTCACATCTGCATGTAGTCTTTCTTGTATACTTTCTCTCTCCAATATACAACATTTCATTTGCCGCATTTTATAATCCTTAATCCTTTGCGGAAAGTAATCATTACAGGCCAAAATTAAAGAGGCAGAAATGCAGAACTGTTGCCCCTTGTAAAATTCCTTAATTAAAAATCGTTTTTCATCAACATGCATGCCCTCCACGCACTTGCACCTTTGTAGAGGATAAATTGACTGACTAAACAACGACGACACTCATAATCATATTGTAGTATTCGTGAGCAACTGATAAGTAATTTATGTAAACAATATTTAGAGGAAAATAAAGACTTAATCTTCTTTATTAGTTACATTGTTTACCATTGAGAGAACTGTATTGTGAAGGCAATAACTTATTGCAACATTTACCTGTTCATTCCGAACAAGAGGAAGAAGTCTTAGCCTTGAAGGTAAAAAAAGCCAGAAGTTAGTGATAACTACAGTATGGAATAGCGAACTACGATGATTTCGATTTTCGACACCCTATTGCGAAGAATCAATGACGAAGTAATTTTTTCTGCAATTTTTTCGTTGCAAGTTAGTGGAAATTAGGTTTTTCATCAGGAACATATATTTTTTCTATATTAGAATAACAAAATTTCACTCACGCAAAATACACATTTTGTGCGAGATTAGTATACAACTCATTGATTTCTGTACTTTCAGGAGATTTGCTCACGGTTTGTCCTCAAGGCAACAAAAGACAAGTATGTAGCTATATTAAATTCAATGAATATTGTCTTTTATGATTTAGATATTGAATTAATATTTTTGTTTTGGATATACCTGAAAGTATTCAATAGGAATATCATTGCAATTTCATTCTCTGAGTCAGATACGGTATCAAGTAAAAATGAGGACATGCAGTAAGTCATCTCGGGACCAATATAATTTTATTTATTTAGTTGTTGTAGTAGATCAGTGAACGAGGTATCGACACCTACATATCACTATCGATGTATTTATTATTAATCGCTAGTTAAAGAGAAGAAGGAAAAAACAGGGCCAGGGGAAATAGCTGTTTATGAGGCTTTGGTGATGTTGCTGTATGTTATTTAGAAAATCTTATCTTCGCGTTCAACTTCGAGAATATCCAATGATTAAGGAGATGCTTACGTACGCTATGGAGTGTCCCGTATGTGGAAATTCCTTTCTTAACACTTGGCTTGAATGCGTTCGCTTTGTAGACAGCAAAAAGGTACGAAAATAGGCCTTCAAAAATATTCTGATTGGATAATGCCGGACGCTATGACTATCTCCATTTTGGCGGGAAAACAAAAAGTCAAAGTGCCAAAATCAGTGGCCAAAATCGTAATTGATTATAATCGTTTGATTATATGCGTCAGCTCGTATTTTTATTGGCGTGTACATGTCACAGGGTAGTTGTTATAGGGTAGTCATAATGGGTTTTTTGTTTTCAGGGTTTAGGGACGAAAAATTCTCCTGGAATTATTCCAATCCGAGGTCTGCTATGTTCATACAAATGTTTCAATGTGGAGGGACATGATTACTTTGGCATCGCACAACTTGGAGAGAACTGAAGAATCAATGGATGACTACTGTGAATTGTGGAATGGATCTGGTCATGCCAATTGAATGCGAATCAAATCAATGCCAATGAATCAAATAAACATTTTTAAAATGTTGACCTCACAGCAATGGCAAAACAAAAACTTCATGATACATTTCTTCAAATGACCTTTATCATGCATTCAGCTCATCTGCCAAATGGCTATGTTTCAATGCATATTTGCATAAGAGCTAGGTGTAATATGTGAATGTTGTATTCACTTTTTACATATTTACACTGCTATTTTGTTTCTTATTTATCTTCTAAACCCTGATGTACCTAAACATGAAACACTATTTGGATGAAAGCAGATTGTAGCTGGCTATTCCTGCAGACATACTAATATGACTTAAGTGATTCCTGTATATGTATATAATTAAGCATTGGGGTTAAGTGAATAAGGCAGTGAATTAATGAACCCTATATGACCAGGCCTTTGTTTTAGCCTGGTGTCACAATCGTATTCTCTCTGTAGTATTAAACTGAAGATATATTTTTCTTTGAAAGTGTCGATCTACCTACAAATGAATTGAACCACTGCTTTTGAATTCTTGTGATGCAAACAATAATTACACAATAAAGGAAACACGATAATCACAAATAGTAGCAACAACAATGCCTAAAAATCAATCACAGAATAAAAGAACTTCTTGCTATCTATAATACTTTAACAGCCGTTTGAAATAAATATAGAGGGTGAGTCACACTCACTCCCTTTTTAATTTTGTAAGAAAGTAGGTTTTTCAAAGCAGTCTATAATATAAGCTTTTTGACCTACCATATTTGTTTTGTAGTGTGTATATATATATATATATATGATTTGGTTGTCATAATATGATAACCATTCAATCACTGCGTTGATGCCTAGCCCTGACAATGTCAATTGTCAAATTTTATAAGCACTGAACATGTTGTCATGTGATGCAACAATATTGCTTATTTTATCCATGGCAGATATTGCATTTACCAAGAATTTGTCTAAAATGTTTGAATCAATTGAAATAGAAAAGTTGAATTCTAAAACAATTAATATATTAATAGCTACAAGTACAATCGGTTGGTCTACTTAACCGTGTCAGAAGGTGACTTGCTTTTGAGTTTTCTTTCTAATTCTTTAATTTTGATATCTTTATCAAGGAGCATGTCTTGCTGTTCTCTTAACTTCTTACGGAGTGCGACTTTATCGTTCTCCGCATCCTCCAAAAGCTTTTCATAATGTTCTCGACACACGGAAAGTTGTCCACGAATGCTGGAAGTCTGGTCTGTTTCCGCCTCTGAACTTAGTTCTTTCAAATTATGATACCTGTGTTCCTCGTTCGTAATAATTTGCTCAATCTGGCTGAGCATACCGGAGCTAACTTCCTTCACCATTTTAACCAGGCCGATGTTATTTGAGCCAACGTCGTGTTTATGAGCGCTAGTTCCGTCTGAATCGGTATTTAAAGTGTTGTTGTTCGTTTGAATATATTCCAGTCGTTCTCGCATTCGAGAAGCTAGCACTCTCGCGTTGTCTCTCTCGCTTTCCAAACACTGTATTTGTTCTAGTAGGGACATAATCAGCGTCTCAGTGCTCATTACAGACGCATTAGCATCCATTTTGAAAATTTAATTGTAGAAAAAACTTTTATATTTGAGTACATGCATATGTTGACTTTTGGTAAATCTAAATTCCAAACATTTCAACAAATATAATTAATCAAATTTGTCACTCTGTTGACTTCGTCTGTTTCAAAAATCAAGAGTAAAGCGACCCCCCCCCCCCTGACAGACTGTAGAGACACTGCCTCGTATCCAGTAGCCTGCATGCTACGTGCCAGGCGCTTTAAGGCTACTTTCCACTCAGGAAAAATCTCCTTTGTATCGGAACGGACAGGAAAATTTCCTTTGTCGGTGAGTTCTCAGGCGGCGTTTATACAAAGGAAATTTTCCTGTCCTGTCCTGTCCGATCCAAAGGAGAATTGCCCTGAGTGGAAACTAGCCTTTAGCATCAAATGGGGTACATAACAACTGCCCAACAGAGACAAAAACACTTCTCGACGTTTCGACCTGAGGGTCTTCGTCAGGAGAGTTAGTAAGGTTACTATGAGTTAGTAAACTTACTTACTCTCCTGACGAAGGCCCTCAGGTCGAAACGTCGAGAAGTGTTTTTGTCTATTTTAGGCGGTTGTTCACGAATGACTTTTTGCTAAGCACATAGCTCTAGTGTGCGCCGGCCTTAAGCTGTTTAGTCACAGCTAATCTGCTACTCAACGAGTCCTTTATAAATAAGCAGTTGCGTATAGCCAGCCTGACAATTTAGGGCATGCTATCGGCTAATATTTTGGTGTTCATCGACTGTGAAAACACTGAATTTCTCAGAAGTAAATAATGATAATAACATAAAATTTGCATAGCATGACTAAATCGTCAGGCTGGTTACGCCACTGTATATTAGCGTCTCTACACTTGTCTGACTTCCACCTGCCTTGTAGACGTAAGATTCTTTCTACGTAAGACGTAAGAACAAATTATTTCTTTCGTTTTTAAATGTTTTGCTTTTTCGTGTATATTAGATATTTAGTTTAGAAACAGAGTTAGGTATAATGCTTTATAGAGTTTAGTAGCCAAATATAGTTTTCATATTTTAAAGTTCAAAGTTTTCATTAATTGTATACAGTAGGACGCTATACATGCAATAACGCATAAAGCTTTTAGTCCGCATGCATGTTAATTGCCTTTATGATATTAATTGTCATGTTGAGATCTCAGTTTACGTTACTGATGCAACATGTCTAAAAGAGGACGTAATAGCTAAAAAATTACAAAATTTTCCATTTCGAATGTGAATACAGAAAGGTCTGGGATACCAGTCCTATTTTAAAAGTCCTATTATATGGAGTGGGACTTTTTAAAATTCTGCAACGAAGCCTTCAAAGTGAAAGGTCTAACCCTTCACGAAAATTAACAAATTTATACTTCATAGATAATTGCTATTACCTTATACAGCTTATTTTAGTATAATTCGTGTTTTCAGATCTTGACTATAGTAAAGCTTTAATAAAATTTCTTTTGAAATCTGCGATGCGAGAAATTCCAGAGATCAAATGCACTTCACTCTTGCAATCTGCAAAATTGCTTTATATCCAAAAAGTTGCAATTGGGTGGCGTTGGCCTTTTCATTCTAACAGAAGTGTTTGAAATGTATCTCAATCGAGATTAGTTATGTTGTAGCTATTCATTAGGTAATAAGCACGAAAAATTGGTGGAGATATAATAAATAGATGTCCTTAGCTATACTTTATTAGCTATATTTAGTTATGCCTCTAGCTAATTTGATAAAAGCTATAGGCAATTAGTGACTACACTACATCGAGTTGGCATCGCAGCGGGCTAAAATTTCCACGCCTAAATGCATGTCTGCATGGTTTTTACACAAAGAGCCTTTTATATAGTGGCTATGTTGATGGATAATATATTTTTTTAATTGTTTACACATGCACTTAAGGCATAGAGGGTTAATCTATTACGATTTGTGCATGTGTGGCACTGCACGCAATCAGGAATATTCTTTTTAAAAGGTTTCTAAGTGTCCTAATTTCGACTCGGAGACACCACCAAATTTTAGTTAATTATTGGTAGACTATGTTATGCAAACTCGCAAATTCGTGGTATCAAATAACGTAGTAATATTTTTAATATGCCGGTAATGGATTATTATTCATATCGGAAATGTGGCGAACGGGGCAAACGGGCGATGCTTTGATGGTGCAGAAATTTGTGAACTCGTTGGTCTATACGCACTAAACAATCTTAAAAAAAAATTTGGAAGCAATAACATCGGTTTGTATAGAGATGACGGTCTGGCTTTGATAAAAGGTTCTAGTCTACGACTAGCAGATAAAGCAAGAAAAGATTTGTGTTCTGCATTTCAAGAATTGGGGCTAAAGATCACAGCCGAAGTAAACGAGAAAATTGTTAATTTCCTTGATGTTACACTCAACCTCACTAAAGTCTAAAGAATCATACAAACCTTACCGAAAACCAAATAACGACCCACTCTACATTCACAAAGAATCAAACCATCCACCATCAATCACGAAACAACTTCCAGCGGCCATCAACCGCAGAATCACATAACTATCATCTGACAAACAAATCTTTGATTCTGTTGCACCCATTTACAACGATTCCCTGAAGCAAAGTATACCTTCGTCATATTTTTAAATTGAAAATAGAAAGCTGATTGCGTTTCTTCAGCGGGAAAAAGAGCCAATCAGCTTTCTATTTTCAATTTAAAAATATGACGAAGGTATAGGCTGGGTGTCCCCAGCATAGGTTTTGAAATATATTTGCCACAAACCTAAAAAACATTTACGTTTTTTACATGCATAGGAATACATTTGAATACTAAAAATATCCGGTATAAATGTAGTAAAATTATTCAAGTTTAATGTGTTGTACTTTTTTTTTCTTATTCGCTATATTTTTAAGTGAAATATTTGCGGTTTTGTGAAGGTGTTTGAGTTAACCGTCGTTGCGTTTTTCAGCTTATTTGGCGTGAGAGTTGCCTACCTTGTCATTATATAAGACTGTTCAGACAACATGAGCGTCGCGCGAGGTCAGCAAGATCAGTTCTGGGCCGCCTATGTTAATACGTCACATCTTAATCGTATAAATTAGTTGCCTGATGATTGCTTGTTGAGATGCTTTGATAATTATATACATAGTTTAATAAATATTTCAAAATTGTCTCTTTTTTCTGATACACCCTGTATATAGCAAATTTAAAATTTTCATCGATATAGTCATCGAGCTTACCGGGATAGAATATATTTGTAATGATCTCAAGGATGCAGCAATGAGCAAATTTATTTGTTTTTGAGCAGGCATATGCCCATAACTAAATTTCTAAACAACCGCGGATACTGCTCAAGGCAGAGCGATGATCTAATCTAATTCGGAGAAGTTATACCGCATGAATATCTTCTTGCGATGGCCATCGTAATATCGATTGATATTAAATACACATAAATTTAATGGCAAACTCGGTATACAAAACTCCCGCCAAATAATGAAAGCCACGCCTAATCTGATATGCCAACGTTGCAACGTATGCACAATAATATAAAAGAATCTTTGTAATTCATATGCCTAGTTTGCTTGCTGTTCTTGCAAGTGTGTCGTTATGATGTTTTTGAAGCGACGCAAAAAGAAGTTCGTGCTATTGATCTTCGTAATATTTTCGTTTCAATCTATGCTATCGTATATTTTCAACTATTTTGAACGCAAATCCATATCTACAAGACCGCCAAGAGCGATTCATTCTTCTTCATCATTAAATGCCGCAAAACGAAAAGAAAAGCCGATTGACATGGTCAACGACTATTATCCATTTGTGGATTTTAGATTCGTTTATCCCGAAATTTCGCCAAAAGTTGACGTAACGCGGAACATATTTATGATAATATTAGTCAAATCTGGCGCAAAGGGGATCAAGTACCGCCAACGTCGCGAAGCTATCCGTCAAACATGGGGGAGTAGGGGTAATTGCGAACAACTTAAAGCATTGGGAGATGGAAGACTGAAAGACCTAAGATGGTTGTTGGTGTTTGTTCTCGGAAAAGCAGGACCAGGAACACGTGACGATGAATTAAATGAAGCTGAAGCCAGACGGTACAATGATATGTTGATAGGCAATATCACTGATAATTACGTTAATGTCATTATCAACTTGTACATGGGTCGTCTTTGGGCGAAAAAATTTGATGTAAAATATACAATGAAAACAGACGATGATGTTTATGTGCGTATACCTCGCGTGTTGGAGTATCTTGTGAATGCTAAATTTCCAAGACCCTTCTACGGAGGTTATTCTCGGGCACCCAGTCGTGTAAGTCGTAGAGTTGGTGTAAAATGGGCAATTAGTTACAAGTACTACGGAGAAGCACGATTCCCAACGTTTAATCTCGGAGCATTTTACATCTTATCTGGTGATCTTCGAAACAAATTGTTTAACTATGTTCATATACGAAAACCATTCCACACAGAAGATGCGTACGTTGGTGTTGCCATGAGACATTTTGAGGTAAAGCCAACTAACATCACTTCGTTTCATGTAATACAAAGCATGGGAAGGTATATAAGATCTTTCAAAGACTGTGAGATCTTCAGTTGGAATGCTTTCGGGCATTCTTTGGATGCACGATCAATTAAAGAACTCCATCTTCGCGTGCAGAGTCTTGCGTGTAAGAATACCACTTTAGATATCGAGAATCATCGTTGCGAAAAGAATACAAATTAATTTGTTGTATTTGACTTTGGTTCGACAGCAAACTACAATACTTCAATCGCTGCTCTTACAGTCGCGGCAATAGAAGCGTCCGGAAAAAGATCGAGTAATTCATTTGCTCAAATTTATCAGTTGACTCCATGAAAAACTCCTAACTTCTGGTTTCGAATTGACAAATCTCTAACCCTATTGGATAATGAAATCAATAGAGGCATATGATCGGTCAATTCGAAACGGAAGTTAGGAGTTTTTGAAATATTTGATGAACTCAGAGCTCCGTAAGCCAAGTGATAAATTTAAGCAAATGAATTAAGGCTGTTTTCCACTTACGCGTTTTTCATACGCACGTACACGCACGTAAAAGTCTAAATCCTTATATATGTTATCTTTGAAAAAACTAAGTGAATAAGTTGAACGAACTGCATATTTTAGTTTGCATTTGTTTACCTAGATGTTATATAATTATATTAAAGGCAATTAAAATTTTTCGTATGTGTGCGTGCGTATAAAAAATGCATAAGTGGAAAGCATGCAGCCTTTATTCGATATTTTTTGGGACGCTTCTATTGCCGCAACTGTAACTCTTATACACATTAAAGATAAAGCAGAAATTCTTTCATACTTTTTTAAATGTTTTGTTTTTTCGTGTATATTACATATTCAATTTAGAAACATGCATGATTTCAAATAGAAGCGACAGTGAACGCAAAGCATAGTGCACGGATATCGAGTCAATTCTTTGAAGGATATTTACACAATCATCTAAGAAAAGGCCCGACATAGATGAGCCATTAGAGTCAAAGGTTAAGGTTTAGATTTTAATCTTTACAAAGAGAAATTTATATTTAGATATATATAATGCTTTGGAGTGTGGTATAGCCAAATATATTGTTTTCATATATTATACTTGTTATGTTCATTAATTGTATACATGCTATAGGCTATATAGCTAGATGCAATAACGCATAAAGGTTTTTATCCACATCTTGTCTTAACGATTTTATTTTGTTGAGGTCTTTTACGTCAATGATGCACCCCCGCCTTTCAATTAACAATTAATTCATGCAAAATGTCTTCCGTTAAGTCTTCTTTTAAGAAGAGGTAATACAAAATTAAAAATAGGTATATATACGTACATGTGGGTAGCCGTAAACATGCATTAACTGCGATAAAGCTATGTTGTATTCAATGTCAAACGACAGGCTGCTATAGTAAATATCAACGAGTAAATAGCGAGTAAATATCAACTGATGCATGCTTAAGACCCTGTTACACGGTGCAATTTTTCTTGCAACTTGCAATACAATTCTTATTTTGAGAGATGTAAATTTGGCAACTACCGAACTTTTGTCTTTACTACACTCCATGGCGTTTCTTACACTTACATTTTGAAGCCTCTTCACTAATTTATATCTCTTAAAAGTAGAATTGCATTGCAACTTGCAAGTTGCAAGAAAAATTGCACCGTGTAACATGCCCTTTACTCTTACATTCTAATGCCAAACAAAACGGCAAAAATGTCCTATAGTTAGCTAGTTGAACACAGTCATAACGAAGTCGATTTTATTACACAATCTATATATTATAATATCTTATTGTATTAAATACATTTTACGACAGATCAAAACATATATAAAAGCATATTTACAAGAGATAGGAAATGCATATTTTTAAGCAAAATAGTTGGAGAGAACAAAAAAGAGAGTAAGGTTCCAGAATGGTGGCACGAATCCTCTGATAACATAAAGCTTAGTTTAGAAGGAGAGAAAGAAGATTCCAGACGTTTTCAAATTATTTTGTTTTGATGTGCCTTGATACCACATTGATTATTTTGTTAATCGATGAATGTTATATAAGTTAATAAATGTTAGAATGGTTATTGCTCCAGTAAGATTATAAGGCTTGTTTGCCAAAGTTTATTGACAAACACTCTGTTAGAATGAAAAGGCCAACGCCATCAATCTCTGGGATTTCAAGTCGGATATAGTTTGCAGAGATAAGTGCATTTGAATGTCAGGAATTTCACGCATTGCAGATTACAAAGGAAATTTTATGAAAGCTGCTAGTCATGATTTCATAACGCCAAAACTATACTAAAACAAGACGCCTGTTCTGGCGTTAACTCCGGCGTACGTGCCAGTCTTCAACATAAAGCTTCTGAACGTAAACGATACAGTTCATAATCATTTAGATGCCTTGCGAACTTAAATGTTCGATCGCGAAATTCAGAAGCACATCGTATAGAAGTTCAATTATTCAAAACTTAGTCTTAGACTTTGCCTTTGGAATGCGCATTTATATAGTTAATATATTGAATTAATCTTCAATCCTGTGCAAACTACGACGTGTCAACGCGCCCATACACGACCACATCTTGTAAAACGGTGAAATAGCAGCGATGTTATTAAAATAGGACCAGAATCTACATGTATTAAATATATTCTTACCCCAATTCAATCTAAACTTAATCGAACTGCATGAAAAGAACGGTTTATGTGTTCCTCTTGGAGGAATTGCCGTATCATGCGAGCGAAATCGAATCGCGCATCGGAAAATTAGCCAAAGCTGTGCACCACAACTCTTGGAAGACAAGACTGGGACGTAGATAAATACGGTCACATACACATTTCAAATAATAGTATATTTCGCGCCATTACACACTTGCGACGACGAAAAATACAAAAAAAAACAAAAAACCCCACAAAACTGAGGCAAATTTTCAACTCCGTCGGAGTAATAAGCTGTATATAACGTAGGGAACGACAATCATGTTTTGGATTAATTGACTTTAGTGTAAACGTGGCTTCAATTTGTTGGCACGGGACGGATAAATGGGGTACCGTGCCCAATTTTACTAGTACTCAGGCTACCAAAACAAAGGCCGGGCACGGATGAAATGGGCACAGGTACCATTTTAGCCGTGCATGCCGTGCCAATAAATTGAGTGTAGTGTAAACGGGGCTTTAAGACTAACTTTAGGTAACTTCCGATGAATTGCAGCAAGTTTATTCAAGACGATTTGTTTGAGCCTTCGCAAGACTCCAATCACCTTGGATACTTTGGAGATTATAATAAAAACATGATACTCCCACATCAAACTCTCGCACAGCCTAAACACTTGTAATTTCTGACTCGTTCGATTTTATTTCCGGAGATAGCGACATTACTAATTAGGCTCTTCCAGGATAATACCTTAATTTTTATCTGGATACAATCAGTTAATGAACATACATTTAGTTTTAGTCGGATTTAAACTTAATTTATTCAAATTAAGCCAATCATCATTTAGAACAGAGATTGCTACTTGGCTGGATCACTGTCCATAAGAGTCAAATTAGTATCATCAGCAAATAAATGTCTTTATTTTTTTCCTTGCGGTCCGAATACATGTTTTAGTGTTTCCTGCAATCTGATTGGCTACGCGATCGAGCGGTCCGTATGAGGCCGTACGGACCTCACGAGATTCAAAAGCACAGAGCCAAGGCTAAAATATGAATTCGGTCCGCAAGAAAAAATTAAATCTATTATTTACCAGTCTAGTCGGTCCGTATAGGGAAATATTTCCCTTGGTCTCAAAAACGTCCCTCGGTCTTCGGCCTCGGGCTGTTTTTTAGATCTTGGGAAATATTTCCCTACACGGACCTCCAATCTGGTAAATAACATATATATCCGCTGAGACTAATTTACTATCAGGTAGTTCATTTATAAATATCAAGAAAAGTAACGGACCTAGGATAGACCCCTGAGGATCACCACATGTTACTTTGCAGCTATCAGACGGTATGTTATTGATAATGCATGTTATTTGCGTACGATCTGAAAGATAGTTTTTAAGAAGATCAATCGTTTTATCATTAAAACTATAAGTCAACTTCTGTAACAAAATGTTATGATATTGGTATCAAAAGCCTTTCTCAAATCATATTTGTGTACCTATAAGTCTATAACAGTGGCATCGAGCATAGCTTTAACGTTGAGTGAAGAGGTCTAAATCCTGAGTGTATGTCTGATAAAAGATCATTTTTGTTTAGAAAAGAGTATGCTCGGTCAAAAACAACCTTTTCAAAAATATTTTAGCAACTACTGAGAGGACTGAAATTAGCTTACAACTATTAAGGTCTGGTTTAGAATCGTATTTATAAATTGCTGTTACCCTGGCACACTTCCGATCAGCGGTGATTTTCCCTTTACGAATTACTAGGTTGATTATATGAGTAAGTGATACTGACAATTGTAGTAAAAGTAACCAGTTTTAGTAATCGGACTGGAATGTTATGAAGACCACAAACTTTAGAAAGTGTTAATTTCTGAATTAATTCAAATATTTCGGGTGGACTAATTTCATGCAGTTCAACAACTTCATTACACTGTAGAATGTTAAAAGAAACCGCTCCAGTGGCTGGAATTTCCGCCGCTAGGCGCTAACTTAGGTCATATTTCAGTAAAGTGTTGATTGAAAGCATTACTAATAGCTACTGAATCTGTATTTTCGACTGTGAAAGAAGGCTATTGATAAGATTCCAGGTTTCCTTAGTCCGTTGCCCCGGTCTGAGCGTTCCCCCAGTCTGAGTTATCCCCTCTAATTTATGTTCAAGTGTTCAAATGTGCCATCAAGTTGTATACATAATCATGCAATCTACAGCTGAGATAAACTAAGAGAGTAGTACAATTGTCATTGACAACAGTTATCTGTAAGATATTAAATAAAGACAACCTAAATCATCAAAAGATCTTGTATACAAAATACAATTCACTATATACATCTACAGAAACTTATGAGCTACATTTAACATACCATTTGAGCAGAATTGTGATTTCGTCCAAACATTAAAAAAATGGTGTGTATTTTGTGGAAGCTTGTTTCTGTGTTCGTATTAAATATCCAACTTCATCAAGAAAGTCAGACCAGTTGTTTTGATGCTCTTCAAGCTTGGACAAACGTTGCTTTAGTCCAAAAACCATGACCAGCCGACAATTTAAAAAAGTACGATGCTTTAGTGTTTGATCTACGTTGCTTTAGTGTTTGATTAGTTCTTTCGTCCAGTTAAGCCCGCCGCACACTAGAGCTATCAGCTGAGCTGAGCGTCACTCGTGATGGTCGGCGTAAGCAAGTTCCTTCAGTGTGCGGTGACGTTTTGAGCGCTTTCCGGCACGCGTGCCATCTGCACCAAATATTCAACATGCTGAATATTGAGCAATTCCTTTCAGCGTTTGTGACGGAATGGAGGGTTTATGCATGCTTCTACGAAGATTTGCATATCCTTGTCGATACAGCGACCTTACCTCACGATTTGGCAGGCCTGTACCAGAGATTTCTATTATAACTTCCAAGGTAGCTGATTTTATTTATCT